TAAAATAGTTGTGGTGAGATGGTTAAAAAGAAAGAAAAAATTAAAATCAAAATAATTTTTTTAATTTCAACTCCTGATATTTATCAAACAGTTTGATTCAATTTAATAATTAAATTTCAATGGATATCAAATAATTTACGAATTAAAAAATTTAATATTTAATACTTAAAATTCAGCATTTAATTTTCAATATTCAATTTTCAGTTTTATCAAGAAAACTATTAGATAGATTTTAAATCTTAACTTAATGAATTATTATCATTGAATATATAATATGTCGAATAATACCAAAGTCAACAACAAAATCAATAATAAATATAACACCTACATCATCAAATAAATTTTTTAAAATCTAAGTAACACTGCTCTTTTATCAAACACAATCTTAGGAACTTCTGACAGATAACTTGACCTTACACCATATCCCATCAGTTTCTTGTTTGTCTTCTTTTTTGTGTATAAATCTTTTGCTATTAGCAATGCACTCTGGCCTCTTTGTTATTGTTACCATAATAGTCTTTGATAATTGTGACTTAATTTAAATTATTATAATCATTGAATTAGTGAATGGGGACCATTGTCCATCAAATTGTTGTAGTAGATTGATGAGTCAGCACATTAAGTTAAAAAATTAAACATGAAAGATAATTTGTGTCGAATCTCGACATATCTTGAGAAGANAGATTGATGAGTCAGCACATTAAGTTAAAAAATTAAACATGAAAGATAATTTGTGTCAGTCTCGACATATCTTGAATTTTCTCGTAGTTAAAGTAATTATCAAATAAAATAAGTCTTTTTATAGAAATTTGTACATCCAAGGGTGGGATGATTGATTAGTCTAGACCCTTGATTTCTAACTTCCGGGTCAAACATTGCTAAAGGAAAAGTTTTTCAGCTGTTATTTGGAAATTTAATCAAGGGCCAAATTTAATATATTTATTAAATTAATTGAAAATTTCAATAAAAGATAGAAACTAACTATCAATCTAACGGCAGTTGTTAATTAGGTTCTCAAATTAAATAATATTACTTAGTTTATCAATAAATCTATTTTTTTATTTCTCAATAACATTACTTAGTTTATTAAATATCATGTCAGTATTCATGATATAGTATCACTAACCAATAATAAAATCTTAAATAGACAAAGTGAATTTTTTTTAAATAATTATTGACTAATATGAAAAAATAACGAATAATTATCTGCTTATATGAACAAATAGTTATTAATTTAAGTAAGATACACTTCATTATTTGTCAGGAGATATCACAATTGCAATATGGATGAACTTTAGATAAAGAGCAAATATCAAACTTTACAAACGCAAGACTGTTGCAACTTGCAAACACTTATTATATCACAAGAAAGGTCAAAGTTTCATTCTAAAATCATATGCGAAAACTTGTCTGATCTAAAGCTTCCTGATGAAATGTGTCTGAACGGGTCAGCAGATTTCAGAACTTCATCAAACCGAGTCGACTCACTTGCCCTCCTCCTCCTTCCTCTATTCACCATCTTCCCTCCCTCTCTATCCACCTCAAGCATCCCAACCCTACCCTTCAACTCTCCAATCGAAACCCACAAAGTCTCCATCGAAGGCTTCTTTATTTTAAACATCTCCAACAATCTCTCTCTACGATCCTCTAATCTCTTTAAAGCACACGTTAACTCAACCGATTCGCCAAAACTCAGACAACTCAGTCTCTCCTTGAACTCACTGAGTCGTAACAAAACCTCATTGACCGCCGACAAATAATCACCACGCAGTAAACCCATGACCTCGTACAATAATTTGTTGTCTTCAACAAGGAGAGAATCGGGTAGTTTGCACAATTCTTCGATGACTTCAACTAAGGAATCAACGTCTCTGATTAAGTCTAAGTTCATGGATGATGAAACTCTCTCTTCTTCCTTATCTTTGTCTATGTTCCATGGAGGTGAGCGTAAATAGTATCCCAAAGTTCTGGAACTGGAAAGTAGGGTTTCGAGGTAACGAGCGTACCACCTGACCCATTCGGAGAGGGCCCACTTGCTGGCGGTGGCGCCGTCTCGAAAAGCAGAGAGTTTGAGGTAGTTCCGGCCACCGGAGGTGGGGACGATGGAGAGCTGGTCTTGGAGGATGAAGGGTCCACGTTTGAGGATGTAGTGAATGGTGAGGAGGCACTTGAGGGCGACGGAGGCGTCACGGGTGCGGTGGAGGCGGTCCATGAGGGTGTTGATTATGACAGAGGCGGTGGCGCGTGAGCTGTAACCGAGGGAGAGGAGGGCGGAGAGGAGGTGGTGGTGGTGATCGTTGGGTGTGGTGGTGGGTGAGTGGGTGGTGGCTTTTATGACTGCGAGGTGGAGTGAGAGTTTGCTTGGTTTGGAGAGAAGGGCTGCCTTGGATTGTGAAACCTTGTCCTTGATGACTCCTATGAGATCTCTCAATGTCGTTATTCGTCCCATGGATAGAAGAAAGAGAAATGGGGTTTAGACCTGTGAGAGAGAGAGAGAGAGAGAGAGAGAGAGAGAGAACTACATTGATTTCTTTTTTCTTTTTGGGGTTGATACCTAATCCGAAACACCTAGTACAATGTGCTGNCATGGATAGAAGAAAGAGAAATGGGGTTTAGACCTGTGAGAGAGAGAGAGAGAGAGAACTACATTGATTTCTTTTTTCTTTTTGGGGTTGATACCTAATCCGAAACACCTAGTACAATGTGCTGTGTGTGAGAGAGAGAGAGAACAATAATGATTTCATTAAATCTTTCTGTTTTTTTATTCATTGCGGGTTGATTCTGTGTGATTTAAGGAAGGAAACCTAATCACAAGATATTTATATTGCCAGGTTGTTTTTATAAACCTACAAGTCCTTTTCTTTTTGCATTAAATGTTCATATTTTATACCTACTAGTGACCCTACACCCGTACTATAATTTATAATTCATCATCTTTTTTTTTTTTTTTTTAATTATTCTTCCTTATTTTGTTTTATCTTTACCGACTTATACGATAAGTTACAAAGATATAAAAACTTATGCAATAACAAAAAAAAATTTCCAAAACTAATTGTAATATATTATAGTTAGTGAAAGAATGGGCGGTGTTTATTAAAAACACATGGTAGAAGAATGTAACTAGAAGTAACCTTTTATTTTTACTTTAATAATTTAACACTTCAAAACATTAATAATAAAGAGGAAAGGCACGTCATGCCCACTCGAGGAGTAATCTCTTTTTTTTTTGTTACAAGGTAAAAATTTCAGACTTGTGCCAACTACTCTATCAAATTCAACGATTGACCACCGAGACTTGAACTAGATTAAAACATGTCCCTAAAGAGGCAAAAGTGATTAATCCGTGAAAAGAGATTGAACCTGATATCTCTGACTTACCAAAAACTAATCTTAACCACTAAATCATTCCTAAGAATTATTAATTATTTCACATACATCCTAATTTTATTAGAATAAAGGATTATTTTCTAGCAAATGCCAAGCTTTACATCCTAATAGGTTCAATTGAAATAGAATTGAAATAGGAGGGGCCAAGATGATACCCAAAGACATGTATAAAAGTGTGCTACCAAAAGTAACGTAAAAGAGGATGAATTTACTTTTTGACTCTTGACATTTGAACTTACTCTACAATGGCAGCAGTTAAGGAGTCAAATTACTTTTCTTTTTGGAGTAAATTATACTCTGAATTATTACCTTTACTTTACTTTATACCTTCAACTATAAAATTTTTTATATTATATTTTAAAATATTAATTTTATTTTATATCACTCTAATAAATAACAATAAACTTAAAATTCTGTTAAAAGAGGAAGGAAAAACCCAAAAAACTTCATGTCAAGTACCTAATATCACTTTATTTTACTTCTTTTGTTCTAAATGGTTGCTGAGAAAAAAAAAAAATCAGTCAGAGTAAAAAAAATTAGAACTTCGAAAGAACAAAGTCATGGATAAATTTTTTTTCTTTATTTTTAACTTGGCACATGTGCAATATACAATTACTTATTGATAGTACAAGCTACTCACATGTGCATTTATCGTCAAAATATTGACAACCATTATCTATTAGAATGATATGAAATAAAATTGATACTTTAAGGTACAATGTAAGAAATTTTTATAATTTAGGGTACAAAGTGAAACAAATGTAATAGTTTAATAGGATAAAGTATAATTTGCCTTCCTTTTTGTCAACCTATTCTTATCAAAATCTACTTTTATCTCTCGAAGTCATGCAACCTATTTTTCCTTATCTTTTTCTGGTCTTTCAAGACATTAGCATCATGAACAAAAACACAAAAATCCCACAGAATAGACATTATCTAGGAAAATTACTTCGATTAGATTAGATTAGATTTTGTTATTCCAAGGCTGTTCCTTTATCTGTTCGTTGTCAAGTGTTTTGCATTTAAGAAAATCCTGAAATAAGACATTGAATCACACACACAATTGCCCAACAATCCCCATTGTCGAAGAGATTCAACTTACCAAATTTATCACCAACAGTATGCTTAAGAAGCGTTTTCAGACACGCCATGAAGATGTGCATAGCTGTTGTAATACCATTCTCATTAATCTCAATATTTATCAATTCGTTTAAAAAATAAATATTTTGCCGCGCCTCTCACACAAATTTGAAAAATACCTNGAAGCGTTTTCAGACACGCCATGAAGATGTGCATAGCTGTTGTAATACCATTCTCATAAATCTCAATATTTATCAATTCGTTTAAAAAATAAATATTTTGCCGCGCCTCTCACACAAATTTGAAAAATACCTGAGTGATGTTTCAGAGGCGAATAACAAAGAATCGCAGTGTTCATATTGTCCACCATATCTGGGTTGTGGGACTACTTTGGCTGTGATGTATCACAATGTGTGATGCAGCAATAAGCAACCACATACCAGTCCAAGTAGAAGTACACGGCTAAAAATCCGCTCATCGGGTGAATAACCTGCACGAAATATATTTCACTTGCTATTCAGATTCTGATGAATTCAAAAACAGAACGCGAGTCTTTTCAGATTCAGGAATTTATTGTATTTCTCCCGGTGGATCGTAGGTGAAGCTACAATCTTACCCAGTTGGAGATAATTGTTTTGAATATTCCATTCGAAATCCCAGTGCTTTCTGTCGTTTTTAATCGTCCAATAAGCCCATCCAAAAGAGGCAGCACCATATACCTCTAACTGGGCTCTCCCAAAATCCTGGTAGTCTAATTGGGATCCGCTCATGACGTTCCATTCATTCACCCATTCCCCTGCAATCAATCCATTTCCAAGTCATAGTTCATATAATTTATCCGAGTCCTCCTCAGTTCATGTATAAGATGCATAAATGACAAATCAAGGTTAAGTAAAATTTTGGTGGTTCTAATAATATGTCATTTTTGATGAACCAAGAAAAATGGGGATCATTACTTACCAATAAAAACAAGAGGCCCATTTGCACCATTCAGAGCTTGTACTTGGGACTCCCTGCTCTTGTATATGTATTGAATATTATCAACAGTACTCATGTTTACAAAAAAATTGTCAAAGAGATTGTAGTAATGCAAATCAACTACTGTATTTATCGAGCCTAAGTTAGCTTGATAAAGTTCAAATGGATCTGTGTTGCCTATTCTTTGGCAGAAAATCACATAAGCTGTTGATGAGTATTTCCGAACAATCTGGTAGCCTTGTTTGTAATATGAAACTAAAATGTCCAGTGGGACGGTGGCAGAAGATGGTTCGTTTAGAAGCTCAATTCCCAGCAAGGCCGGATGCTTGGCATACCTGCAAATGAAGAAGTCATGAACTATGAAGTTAAATTCAACAACGCCATATCACATAAGGATACACTCAAATTAGTTCTGTTTTCTAACAAGATTATTAAAACAGCATCTTTTAGAAAGCATTAATCCACTGCCAATTTTAATTTTCATGTGACAGGAAGCTTAAACGCTATCAGAACTGAAGATGAAGCATATTTCTACTCTAAACTATCCGAAAACCAAACTTCTTTATTATGTTTTCAGCAACAAGGACATCAATTGGATTTTCTTACAGTAATATGTAGTAGCTCAATTGTGAAACATACAAGATATTCCTTGGCACAAAACATGACTAGGTTTTCTTACAAAGGATTGACCATCAATATGGTACAATTAACCATGCAGATGAACACCAATCTGAAGTCTACCTGGAAGCCAGGAAATCAATAACCACTAGCGTCTGGGAGATGGAATCTGGAGATGTAGACCATCCAGTTGTACCATCTCTACTAGAACTATGTTCCATCCCATTTTGGGAGCCTGGAGCTGCATGAAGGTCAATTATGCACTTTATGCTATAGGCTCTGCACCAAAGTTTTTACGTAGGGTGTAAAACAAAAAGCAAATGCAAACAAACCAACAATCTAGAAAGTAAAAAGGTCAAAGCAAGACCTACTGTGCCCATGAGAACGCATTATCCAGAGCTTCTAACGATCCTCCTATAAAAGGGGCAGGAGGATTGGGATCAAAAGCAATCCACCAGCCAACAGGGATCCTCACAGTATTTATTCCGTGTCTATACAGAAAATTGAAATCATCTACAGTGATAAAGCTGTTTCTATGCCTCTGCAATGTCCAACAAACATGTATCACATAAAAAAGGAACCACGCTGAGATAGGGAATATTGGCTTACTTCTGCCAAAAAAAAAAATTCAACAACAATTACATTTCTAGGGTATGTCAAGTTAGTATCAACAAATAGAGCAAAACAGAAAAATTAGAGGAAGTTNTTTCTATGCCTCTGCAATGTCCAACAAACATGTATCACATAAAAAAGGAACCACGCTGAGATAGGGAATATTGGCTTACTTCTGCCAAAAAAAAAAATTCAACTACAATTACATTTCTAGGGTATGTCAAGTTAGTATCAACAAATAGAGCAAAACAGAAAAATTAGAGGAAGTAAAAAAAAACATTACAAAGACATAATCCTTATGCAAATAGACTTCTGACAGGTCAGGAGTCAGCTGTGCTACACATCCCTAAAAATCCCATCCTGGAAGCTCATAAGTAAGGAATTTGTGATATAAAAATGCATTCCAACAAATATATAATGCATTGGGTAGAACCTCCNTAGACTTCTGACAGGTCAGGAGTCAGCTGTGCTACACATCCCTAAAAATCCCATCCTTGAAGCTCATAAGTAAGGAATTTGTGATATAAAAATGCATTCCAACAAATATATAATGCATTGGGTAGAACCTCATTTGCCATCTCTAGAATCCAAAAGAATTGGATATATGCAAAAAAGAAAATAATATGTTATACAAAAAGTCTATCCCCAAGAATTGCTCTTAAGTTTTTTCTGGATCTGACATACTGTACTAATGTAACTGTTGGATCAAAACACCCATGTCATAGAAGGTATAGATCATCAATTACTATCAGTTATCAAGTGATGACAAACAGAGCCGCGCTTGGAAATTAATTACCTTGAGAACTTCTTTGGCTTTGGCATACCCAAATCCATTGGCAAGCTGATAATCTCCGTGTAAATTATTTGCTATAATCATCATCTCAAATGTGGCTGCATTATTATCCCATCCTGGTGTCCCCCGATAGTCTGCTGTGATCTGGCTGGCTTTTGAAGCCTAAACGAATAGAGTATAATATATCACTCAAATTAAAGGGGGAAAAAAAAAAAGCCAAGTTAACGGGTATAACAACCCTGAAATAGGCTTCAATAACAACCGCATGGATGGATAACCAGTAAATTATCTGGTTGGGTATTGGGCGCACAGTGCACAAGCAAATTGCATTCAAAAATCACTGTGAAAAGCCTATCCCAACCCATTTTGTGCCCAATCTTTTCAGCAAGCATAATAGCTCATAGCTAACACATATCAAAATCAACAAGCATTATAACTGGCTTTTCCAAATTCAAATTATTTCCCAAACTACTACAGATTTCCTTCAATTTCTTATAAAGTTATTTTTACCATGGGCAGTAACTTTATCCACCCGGAAGATTAACGGAGAATTTTCAAAGTCTAAATTAGTATTAAAACCTAAGTGCGTCACCATGAGCCATCAGCGAGATCAATGAACTGAACCATAGAGACAAAAGGCATCTATTGATTTAAAATTTGAACCAGCAGTTTTGAGCACCAATACTTCGGCATGCATGCCAAATCACAAATCTAGCACTCTTATCATTATTGATAACCAAAGTGCAGCTGAGAAATTCTTCCCTAATCAAGATGTAAACCGATCAGAAATTATACCTGCAGATAGGTTCCACTTTTAAGTCTGATATGAACTCTAGTGTTAAAATTTCTTTCAATATAAAATGTTTCTGTTGCCAATGGTGATTCTGCTGTTGCATAGACAAAGCCTCCATCACATGTTAGAAATTGGCCTTGAGAGGTGCGAAACTGAAATACTGAATCGGAAACTCTCCATAACTGCAGGTAAAAATATATTAGTAACCAATCTCCACGTATATTAGAAAGGAAAAACAAAGGAGAATGGTTTGATAATGCATAAGTTTATCAAACAAAGATGAGTTCACACTAATGATTGTCATGGCAATTATTTAAGTACATCATAAGCAACAAAAGGGAAAATTGTATTAATATATTATCATGCTTTGTGATCTTCTGCAGATAAAAGATATTGTTGGTTTAATGGAAACTTTAACTATCACTGTGACATATACCATGAGATCTCGTATACTAACTCAAGGCTCAAACCAAACAAACTTCAATATTAGCAAAAGCCTAACCAAAGTAATTCTATTACTTCCAGGTAGGCTAGTTCAGTTTCAGTTCAAGCCCTCAATGATGTTCCCAAAAGCATACCAAATTCTAATTGTGGAACACACCAGATATCCCCAAGAGTAGCCATTATTATCTTTTCTTAAGATAATGCCAGTTTTCAAGATAGGAACTATTACAAAAAATGTTCCAGTGCTCAGTCAATTGATTACAAAAAAAAGTTTCTATTACAACAAAAAGCTTCTTAAAACCCCATCAATGGTAGCCAAAAAGAAAATAGATTCAAGTTTATTCATGACTAACTGAAACAGCCATCCCACAGCTGGAAAGCAGGAAAATAAAGAAATGTGTCATGCTGAACTAATTCTCCAATTAGAAGCATATTTGGAAGTCACAAGATTCCACTTGCAACTAAGTTTGCTTACAATTTAGAATCACCCTTGCCACCAAAATGATCAGCCATAAAGTGATATGAGATTGCAAATTACAGTAGAATCATAAGTAATTATAATGATTAAATATTACAAAATATATTGTTGGATGATAACTCAATAAAACTCCTTATAGTTGGAAAATCAAAGCTGATTCAAAAATCAATACAGGACCAAGAGGATATCATAAAAGAAGTATAAGCAATGGGTTAATCATCTTACCCTAAAAGTTTCCCATGATAAAGGAACATCCTTGTCCACTGTAACATTCATGCCACCCCCATTGTCTGCGGACACATATTTCTGCAATGTCACTGACTTGAATTGAACCTCTGTTCCATCCTACATTTCAGACATATGTTTTGACCATATAATCACACCAAAACAACAAAGACTCCTACTTTGCAAAAGCAATCATATTATGAAAAGAAAACTCACAAGCATGTCTCCATTGGGAATACCGTCGAACAGAGAAGGTTTAATCCACCCTTCCACAACCAACCATCCGCCCAAATTCACTCCTCTTACTTTTGAGTTTCCAGGAAGTCCCTTCACTAATCTCATA